GTGCTTCAGGTGCGAGTATGCCTAGTGAAGAAGAGAAGATCCACACCTAGGCCTATATCTATACGCATACTCTTTTAACATTTGTGATTACTCAGGTGGCCTTCCCATCTATGCATCGTTGGAAATTATCCTAAAAACTCGTTTGTTTGTCTTTTAAAGGTTATTTTGTGCCATAGATTGAAAAATTCGATGAAACAATAATGAAATTGACTGGAAGGTTCAAGTAAAATAAATAGCGTATTCTTATTATATTGATGTAATGGTCTATTTATGTTTAAAAGATGAACAAACAAGCAAGATGACATCTTGAGATGTTCCCTTGTTTATGAGTGAAGCAATCGAAGACAGAAAAGAGAAGAGAAAGCTTGAGTCCATTGATTGACTAATAAAGCACGAACAGAATCTTTTACATGTATTTAAAGAAAAAACAATACAATCGTGTGAAGATAAGAACGATAGGAGCAATCTAGTGCATAATATGAATATCTTCTATCAAATGACAGCAGCAACACAGCATAGAGTTGAATAAGAGTAATGAATGAAGTTTTGCAAAGCAATTTGCAAATAACTGTAAAAGAGTAGACCGTCGTCTAGTGGACTATTTTTATTATAGCAGATCAATCATTCTTGTTCGATATCTCCTATAAAAGAATAAAGTTGAAAGCAAAAAATCAGTCCCACTAGAAAACTGCTTCTTTTTAAATAAGACAGCATAGTGAAAAAAATAATTTCATCGGAAAACATAATGCTTGCAGGCAGCTGTTTTTTTAAGCGAAAAATCGTAGTAACCAGAGACATTGATAGAAGAAAATTAGTTCCATTTGTGAATCAATCTCTTTTGAAGTGGAATTGTTCGGAATATATCTGAACCATAACAGAGTGTAAAGGAATAAAGAAAAATATATTCAGAATGCGAGATGAATAGAAAGAAAGCACATGTATGTGGATAACAGTGATACTGTAAAAAAAAACCTACATGAAAGAAAAATTCCAATCATTCTCTGTATTTATAGCAAAAGTTCGATAAGTTCCATATTTTCTATTCATCATCACTATTACAGTAAAGCAGAATCCACAATGATGTAGTCATTAATTTACGTCATGAACTGTTTATGAGCACTATACACCTATGCTCAAGTTCTTTCATTTTAATGACGCAGTCAATATCTTCCAAATTCAAGTATAGTATGTATCTTAGAAATTGACCAAACAAAAGCTGGGAAAGAATCTAAGTAATGAGTTTGAAACATTCATTATCTATTGCACAGTAGAATATGGGTGTGGCCAAAGTAGGAATACGGCTTGTCCGCGTAACGCGACACTTCGCTGATCAAGTTTTGAAAAATTTTTTTTTCGAGTTGGACAGATCTCATTGGACTATTAGATGCAGTTTTTTACGCTGATTACGAATTTGATATTGATTTAGCATAAAAATCAGATTTTGATATCAAAAATTGGATTTTAAAGTTTTCAAAAACCGTATTTTGGATTTTTTAACCAAGAAATTTTTCAACAGGGGCTAAGAGACATACTATTCGATGCAGAATTAAATTCTCTACAAAATGGTCTATTTAGTTTTGACTTTGGTAGCTTAGAATGGATTGAAAGCTTCGATAAAGTTTCCAACTTCCTGCCCAGTTTATAAGCTCTCAGATCGATGTATCAATCTCATTTTTGCAGAGGAGATTGTCTACTTATAAAACAGTAACAATTATAAAAATCAAGTAATTCCGAGTACACTAAGTGCCTCAAAATTGGTCAACAAAAAACTGTGTAACAGCGTTACGAAAAATGTAACAGCGTTACGTTTGTTTTTTGCATTTTTTATTTGAACAAAAATGTTTTAGAGAAAATCTTTTTTACTGCCTGAAAGTCTATTCAATGCTCTACAAAAGTGATTCTTGGAGCATTACATTTGAAGAAATGATTTCGCAAGAAATTAGAGTTTTCTCAGTGACACTGGAAAAAAGGGTCCTTTTATGTAACAGCGTTACGCCATGATAAAACATTTCTAGATGCCTGAGACTTCAATCAAAAAAGATCATTTTTATATGATAAATGAAGTTCGATAAGCTGCGTCGAATGACGTTTGAACGAACTTCCTAGCTCTTAAACTTTTCGAGAAAGTTGGAGAAGAGTATATCAAAAACGTAACAGCGTTACGTTTGGACAAGCCGAATAACACTCGCACCCACATCTCACTTTTTTATAAAATGATAAAATAAAAAAACCTCGATGACACATCTTTTTGCAAAAATGAACATCGCATGAAGTGAAAAGTCGACTGATTGGTGATTATAAATGAAAAAGAAGGGTGTTGGTGTGGGTGTAGTCCTTCTCTTCATCCACACTCACCCACATTCACACCCATACTCACACCCACAGCCATATCCACAGCCACATCTACATCCCCGACTTTTTTAAGAAGATTACAAAAAGTTTTAGCTTCTCGAAAAATTGTTACATTTTATGTTACAAGAGAAAGATTAATATCAGATCTGCTGCGAAAAAATTTTGCGTCTCCCAATCTTGGCTGCCTCAGAATCCTCGTCATGCCCTTTTCCAATCCTGGGACCCTCCCGTGGAGTCTGAGTACGGATATAAGTAGAAGTCTGGGCGCGGGTATAAGTGGGAGTCTGGATGAGTGTGGATGTGGAGTGTGAGTGTTGATATGGCGTGTGACTCTTTCTATCAACGACACCCACACCCACACCCATCCTAAAAAAGAACATAATTCTTTGCCTTCATTAGTAGTTTTCAAAGAAGAAAGATGAAAAGAAAAAGAAAAAGCTGTTCAGTGTCGGCGAAAAGAACAAGTGGCATTTTTCTCTCCATAGAGGTAAGAAGAAAGAGAACAGAAGTGGGAAGAGAGAGGGCTTCATAGTTTCAAAATGTCTATAAATTCAACACATTTTCCATCATTTCTTTAAAAGCATACCAATCTCTTCTAACTTATTACTCTGCATCTCGTTCTGCACTCCTCCAGGTCGCATTTGTTCATCAAGTAAGCGTAGAATATCAAGAATACGGTCAATTGAAGAATGAGTTATCTTCCACATTTTCTGACCTCTCTCGAAAATAGCTAAATACATTTCTCTTTCTCTATCTTTCAACTTTATAGTCGTTCTCGTCGTACTTTCGATTACAATTGCAACGAAGAAAATGTTTAGGCGTAAAGGCTGCTGTGGATTCTGCAACCCACCACCTCAAGTACAGCAGCAAACGGCTACCACAATTTATGTGGAAAAAGATGAAGAAAAAAAAAGAAGGCCTATGGCTTTATTGAGATTTATCCAGGTAAGAAGAATTTCTCGACGTTCATTTTGTGCAACTACTCTAGCTTGACGAAAATTCGTCGAAGGAAGAAAATATGAAAAGATTGAGGAAAATTGTCAGAAATAAGAACTAGACTTTCTTTTTAACGAGAAATGCGGGTTGTCTTTAGTTTTGCCGAGTTTAATTAATTTTTCTGAAAAATGAGATTTTGTTGTCGATGAATTTTCGCAATGAACGATGGACTTGTTCAAAGCCCTTAAAAAAATGATGACTGGTCTCTTTCAAAGCAGGAGAAGATTATTTATTTCTTTAATTGCGATCGAACAAATTCTAAAAAGACTTGGGTGGCGATCATGTCTTCGTTTATTCGATCACAATTAGGAAAATAAGTTTTCTTTGACGTGTACTCTTCTAGGACAATGTACTCTTCCTTCCGGTTGGGGACGAGATTCTGTAGCGCTGTAAAGTAGCGTGAATTGTTTAGTTTGCGTCTCTGGAGTAGTTTCATCTTCAGACTTTTAGGTCAACGCGAATAAATTCTTATTTAAACTCTAACTTTGATTTTGTTTTATCTGTCTTTTCAACTGGGTGTTCGTACATCGGATAATAAATATACTTGTCCAATACTTGCTGTTCATCTCTATCGTCATTCACTATTCAAAGGTAACATGGCTGAAGACAAACGAACGGTCATCGTCGATTCTAATAATGAACAACAAGCTTCTCAAGGTCCACGAGAATTCACAAAAGCAGCAAAAATCAGTGCTGAACAAGAACTCATAATGCTTTCAGTTGAAGATATAATACTAATTACCAATAAAACAGAAATTGAAGCAGGCGTTGCAGCTGATGTAAAGGCAGAGATTGAACCTATTTATAAGTTAAGTGAAAATTGTTGTGATCGTTGTTGTGATAGTACACTCAATTGTTGTCGTAAAACTTGTGATTTTTGTGACTGCTGTCGAAAGGAAACCAAAGTTGTTCCTTTTCTTCAGAAAACGACAACAATTTTGTATGATAAAGATCCGAATCAAGATATTGAATTCGA